TTCCAGACGTATCGGGTGCTGTACAACACAGGGGGAGGGGTGGGGGCTGAGGTGTTTAACGTCCCGATGAGTTATTCTCGGCTACCTGCAGTTTTTGAATATTAATTTTTAGTCCGATCTACACAAAACGAGCTTACAGTATCTTGAACACTCGCAGTAGTACGCCTAAGTTTAGATTTAATCATATCACTTTCAGAATTCCACGCAAATGATAGCACCCAATCATTTTCTATTTTGGAATTTAAATGAATTTTAATTTCAATAGCTCCGATGTAATGGTGTAATGGACTTTTAGATATTATTAGCTCATTGTGCGTGAATTGGCCCCTCTCTGAATGGTTTTAAAATGTTTTAATACCGTAATACGTTTGTCAAAATGAATTGTGATGCAACATTTAAGATGTTTATTCCTTTGAAAAGGTATCTAAGTGAGTGCCATGTTTTAATATTGTAAATAGCGTGTACAGCTCTTCTCTATAATACAAATATATTTCCAACATCAGTTGCTGTCGGTGCGCTTTTGAAAGCTCTTAACGATTATGACAATGAACTCTTTTAAAAATGTGAGGGAGGCCTGTGCTCAGGTGTGGAACTTTACTATCAATGAGATGGGATATACTCGTTAAATCTGACAACATCTTTATAGTATATAACTGTGTAACTGGTTCGAAGCATATATAGCAATGGTTAACCTTTTACTGATGAGGACCATATGACTAATTTATGGCTTGCCATGGACTACCATCTTTTAAGCATGACATAAATTATAGTGGTGAGGTATATTAAATATGTTATATGAATAATAAAATACATCAAAACTAATATGTGACATCATTGCATCTCCAAAAATGATGTACACTCTTTTATATTAGCGAGCATTGTATGATGCCTTCGCTGACCACTTTATGTGCCTTCAGGGACCGCCAGTGGTCCACGTACCACCCGTTAAGAACCACTGGTCTATACCATTAATACATTTTAACAGATAAAAATATTTAACAGACTCGCGCTAATTTAGCAGTGCTAATAATATAGAGTTTTAAAATACGACAGCGACCTTGTGAGAGCGTTTTCAACTTCCGAAACAGTCGCCTTGGTGATATACTAGAACATCTGTTGATCCAAATAGCACAGTGTAAACGTGATTTTAAATCCACAGGAAGGCCATGAATATGTCCAGGTGGTGAACGACCTTGAAATGGCATAATAGTGGAGCTTCAATATAAGGTACAGTTTCGAGAAAACACGAGGAAATTTTAATTGAAACACGCTTTTATAGCTGTCTCGACAGCAACGCAAAGTCAGGAAATTTCATTTAGAAAAAGCAAAAATTAGAGACTGTTTATGTGTTAATTAGGTGCTAACACTGTTCCCAAGATAAGGTTTTTCATCTTTTATACGTATCTTTTTTTTTTTATAGGAGAGGGGGCAAACGAGCATGCGGCTCACCTGATGGTAAGTGACTACCGCCGCCCATGAACAACCGCAACACCAGGGTAATTGCAGATGCGTTGCCGGCCTTTTAAAAAGGAGTAGGCTCTTTTCTTGAAGGTCCCTAAGTCGTATCGGTCCGGAAAAATCGCTGGTGGTAAACTATTCCACAAGGAAGTTGTGCGAGGAAGAAAACATCTTCTAAATCGCACAATGGTGGACCGCCAATCATCCAGATGGTGTGGATGGTATCGGGAGTTCTGCCGCGATGTGCGTTCGTGAAATTTGGCGGCTGGGATTAATCCGAACAATTCCTCAGAGCACTCCCCATGGTAAATGCGAAAGAAAATGCTAAGAGATGCAACATCTCTTCGCAGTGCCAATGAGTCGAGCCGATTGCAAAGAACTCGGTCGTCGACGATTCGAGCCGCTCTGCGCTGGATGCGGTCAAGTGGAAGAAGCTGGCACCGGGGAGCCCCAGCCCAGAGATGGGAACAGTATTCCATGTGAGGCCGAACCTGCGCCTTGTAAAGTTGCAGGCGTTGAGCCGGCATGAAATACTGTCCCGCTCTACTGAGCACGCCAAGCTTTTTAGAGGCCAATTTGGCCTTCTCTTCCAAGTGACCACGAAACTGCACGCTACTCGATATGTCGACGCCGAGGATTCCGATACTGGCTGAGGCAACAAGGGGAGTACCTTGAAACTGAGGAGATACGACAAAGGGGTTCTTTTTAGCGGTAAACGCGCAAACTTGTGTCTTCTGAGGATTAAACTGGACTAGATTTAGTCGCCCCCAATCCGAGACTTTGTCCAGCAAAGACTCGACTTCAGACACAAGTTTATTCCGGTACTCAGTGACGTTTTCCCGAGAAATATTGGCACGGCCGGTGTATAGAGCATCACCAGTGCTGTCATCCGCATAGCAATGAATGCTACCGGCTTGCAACATATCATTGATATGCAGAAGAAACAGCGTTGGTGATAGCACGCAGCCTTGTGGAACACCAGCGTTAATAGGCTTGTAGTCGGAGCATGCACCGTCTACAACGACCTTGATGCTCCGATCTGCAAGAAAGCTGGTGATCCAATTGCATAATTTCTCGGGAAGCCCATAGGAAGGGAGCTTCGAAAGAAGCGCTTTGTGCCAAACCCGATCGAAGGCCTTCGCAATGTCCAGACTAACGGCCAACGCCTCCCCTTGGACTCTACTGCCTCCGCCCATCTATGGGTCAGGTAGACCAGAAGATCACCAGCTGATCGACCCCGACGAAAACCGTATTGGCGGTCACTAATCAGCTGGTGATCCTCAAGGTACCGGATGAGCTGGCAGTTAATAATGGATTAATAATCTCTAAAGAGAATTATAAATGTTATATTGAAAAACAAAGTAATAAAAATATCCTATTATAAAATTGATTAAACACCAATGACTGCATGATATAATCCATAACATACATAGTACAGCTACTAAGACTATAAGACACTCTAAATACCGTTTAGGCTGTTTAGCGAATTGTCGCCATTTTGAGACCCATAAAAACAAAATTTTAAATATAATTTTGGGAATATTAGACATTAGTCTAAACCTATAGGTACCATTAATTTTAGTTAGTATAGTTTGACTAATGATCACTGTGCCCCAATATGCCTTCATATCCATTAATTTAATTTTTTTTTATTCTAACCTATACAACCGATATTTAGTTACCGTATTTAGTATTTTGTCCTTATATTATTTCGTTGTTTTGCTGGCGCGGCAATTTTTTGATAGAAAACATACACAAGTTTACCGTAAATCTAATTTTGCAATTTCAATTCACCAATTACCACTGTCAAAACTCAAGTCCAAGACATGAAATATCGCTATCATTCAATAAACATTCTTTTTGTTTTATATTCATTTGTAATCCCGTTTTTAAAACCAATTTAGAACGTTCGAACTTTCAGAATCCGAGTTGCTCCTGAGAATTTCTTTACAGAATAACCAACAGTTGGTATTGGCCCGACCCGGGATTCAAACTCAGGATCTCATGATCAGCAATCGCGGTTACGACCACTAGACTAGACTAACGAGGCAGTCATGAACATATGATCATGACTCTTTGATTTTTTTTTTATAAGATAGGGTGACAAACGAGCACACAGTTGCTGTGGCCCATAGACATCTACATCTATCCTCGTTTGCGAATCAAAATGCAGATGCGTTGTCACCTGTGAGCACTAAGATAGAATGCCTCTTTTCCAGTAAAAAATGTCTCCAGTTCTCTATACTCACCATACGAAACACAGCAGTGTTAAGCTGCTATTTTACGTTTGTATTATGTAAGAGCGTGGCCCTTCCCCGGTCGAGCCGACCCATTCGTGCTGCAACTATACTACCAATATAGCTGCGGCATGACTCTACCACGTATAAGTGGTAGAACCATGCCAATATTTCAAGTTATTGAGACGTCGAAGGAAGGTAAACATTGAGTTTTAAAATTCCACTATATCAATACATACATACATATATACAAGCCAAACTAATAAACTCGTGTAATAATCATGTCAGACTGTCCCTCGTAACCTAAACACAAAGTCAGTATTACACGCCCTTTCTAAGGTATTAACTTTTATTCGAGGTGCGATAATTGGATTCCACTCTGTGCACTCGTGAGCACACTCGTGCCGACCTTGCGTCTTACGTTTGGCCTCCAAATAGAGACAGGCTGCGCTCTTACATGTCGTAAGGAATACATTAAGCAGAGTAAATTGCGTTTAACTTTTTTTTTTACAAAACTATATCTCTACCCTTTAACATTACGATCTGTCTTTGCAATTTCCGACGTTTCCAATTCCCTGCGTCCATGGTCGCGGGGGTACTGCTACATAGACATGGCACTATATTCTAAAATTCACAACATCATCATAGAAAATATCATGATGTCCATACACTGGTATAATCATGTGCTACCATCGTTTAATATGCCATAACACCTGCGTGATCACTTCAATGAAGGATTATGAACCCTTGATACTTATGTAAAAGGTAAAGATTGGCATGGTGATAAATCAGCGTCGACATTACTCGTCTATATGTATGTACTAGATATAATACGAGTATATAGTTATATCGAGGGTGTCAATATATTATTATATTCATATGTATGTATGTCATATGTATATCATATGTATGTCATTTAAAATAAAATAATATTACTTTCATGGCAAGATAAGAAAAAGTGCGAAGGAGATGGATATTATTCCATCTCGCTTCCTTATAGCCGCCAAGGCTGTCTACACTACGTCAGAAGGGGTTGTGACGGAAAAATCTCACACTTTTTGTCGCCTAGACCCAATCCGCCAAATTCGTATCGTCCGATAAAGAACTTCGTTCCAAAAAAAATAACGCTTTCTGCTTAGTGTACCAAAATTAGAGGATTCGTTTTTTTTACTTATATAAGCCAGTGTTTGACTAAAATCCCACCTGGTGATAAGTGGTGATGATGATGAAGCCCTAGATAGTAAATCGCACTGTCTTAGCGTAACAAAGGCCCTTTTAAACAAAAAAATAATAATTTAAACTTACATAGTATCGGCATTTCTCGACGACGCCGACCCTCGCCGAAAAGGTTTCGTTCGTCGCCTCAATTTCAAGCACTCTACTCTTCAAGTCCAGGTGATTCTTCTGGATGAAGTATACGTAGTCTACGCCGATCATCTGTGAAAATTCGCAAACTTAAGTCTTGTACAATAGAACAGAATATGTTTGTATGCCGAAAACAGTACCACCTACTGGGTTTAATTGTGAATCCAAACCATCCAGGGACCCCACCCAGGGTTTTAAAATTTTAAATATACGGTAAAGTCGAAAAGTTATTTACGTTTAAACTTTGTAGATGGTAGAGCCATGCTGCAGCTATATTAATAGTACAGTTGTAGCACGAATGGGTCGGCTCGACCGGGGAGGGACCACGCCTTCACAGAATACCAGCGTAAAATAGCAGCTTAACGCTACTGTGTTTCTGTTTCGTATGGGGAATGTAGAGAACCGGAGACCCTTTTTACTGAAAACGAGGCATTCCATCTTAGCCCTCAAGGGTGACAACGCATCTGTATTTTGATTCGTAATCGAGGATAGCTGTAGACGTCTATGGGCCACAACAACCACTCACCATCATCTGTGTGCTCGTTTGTCTCCCTTATTCTGTAAAAAAAAAAGTTTGTTCACCTTTTTCAGCAGATACGGAGCGTCAACATTGAGTTGGCAGCGCCTTGTGGTGTACCGCGTCGAGTCGTCCGCGGTCCAGCTGTCCTCTGTGATCACACACTCGAGCACCACCGGGATCTGCGGGCAGCTGGGGAACCGCCTCTCGTATGCCTGCAGGACAAGACAACTGGTTGCATTACAGCTGCATTACACGTGTCACATCAGTGTAATTGTTTGTTTTATTTAAGTCGGCCCGACCAGCGGCGGCAGGCAGCGTAAAATGGCAGCATACTAGGCTGTGCTGCGTATAGCGAGTAAATACTACTAGAGGTCGTTTTTACTGGAAGTGTTTCATTAGACTATAGTTTCATATACAATATATTTTTTTTATAATTTATAATAAAAAATTTTGTACAACCGACTTCAATATAAATTATTAAGAATAACTCAAAAACTATTGGTTAACTTTGATCAAATTCATACGGTGGTCCCATATGAATTTGATCAAAGTTAACATGTGAAGTATCAACTTTCAAAAAAAAAAAGAATCATCGAAATCGGTTTACCCAGTAAAACTTATGAGGTAACACACATTAAAAAAAAACATACAGTCTAATTGAGTACCATCTCCTTTTTGAAGTCTGTAGATATAATTTAAAATAAAACATTAAACAAATTTAAGGGATTTTATCGCATTTAATTTTAAATGTTATTTTTGATTTTATAAAATGTTGTGTGAAATGGTTGATTTTAGTTGTAGTAGATAATATTTAGGATTGGTCTATTGTAAAGTTATTACTGGACTATTTAAAAGTATAGTACAAAAAATACGTTAAGATAAATATTATACAATGGAATTGTCAAAGTCTCAGTCCCAAATTAGTTGCATATGAACATTTTAACAGTGGTAGAGCCACGCGGCAGCTTTTGCTGTCGCACGAATGGGCCGGCTCGAACCGGGGTAGTACTACGACCTCACAGGAAACCAGCGTGAAGTAGAGGTTTACCTCTGCGTTTCGCTTGGTGAGTGCAGGAGGCCGGAGGCCCTTTTTACTGGAAATGACGCATTCCATCTTAGTCCTCACGGGTGACAACGCATCTGCATTTTGATTTGTAATGGAGGATAGATGTAGATGTCTATGGGCCGCAGCAACCACTTACCATCAGGTGGACTGTGTGCTCGTTTGTCACCCTTATCCTATAAAAAAAAAGTTATTATCACTGGAAAAGATTCACATTGCGGTCCTAAGTGAAACATGGTTAGAGCAGGATATCAAAAATAAGTAACTACAACATACACCGTAGGGATCGCTTCGATTCCTATATTAACAAATAATAAATAAACAATAAAATTGTATAAGAAGTACCTAAGACTTTTTTATTGTGTACGATTTAAATTTTTTTGTTCCTATATCTAGAGCTACAGTGAAGTGGCAGTTCAGTAAGCGTTAAAAAAATCTATCACTCCATAAAATACGTGGTAGAGCCACGCGGCAGTTATTGTAGTTGTAGCACGAATGGGTAGTTTCGACCGGGGGAGGACCACGCTCTCACACAATACTAGCGTAAAATAGCAACTTAGCACTGTTCAATGCTAAAATGGTTCATGTGGTGATTTCTGGACGTCCTGTTCTGCGATCGGCAATCCTTCTGCTAAACGCATGGGTTATGAACAATTGGTAAAATTAAAACTTTTGTACAACCGACTTCAATATAAATTATTAAGGATAACTTAAAAACTATTGGTCATATCTTGATCAAATTTATATGAGACCACATGAGAAGCACCAGCTTTCAAATATAAAAAGAATCATTAAAATCAGTTTACCTAAAAAATGTTAGGTAACACACATTAAAAACATACACTCGAATTGAGTTCCTCCTCCTTTTTGAAGTCGGTTAAAAATGGAGAGTATCACAATAAGACGAGATTAACCTTTGTATAGTACTAGACATCTATTCATTTTCCATTACATCCCATTAAAAAATCAACTGCTGTATATACAGTAGATGATTTTCTCGACTCCCATTGATTGCTTCTTAGGAATACATTTGCTTTTACATTTCCATTCGCCTCTTACTAGAGATCCACGAGATGCGTATGTGCGTGTGTGCGCGTGTGTGTGTGCACATGCGCTTGTGCGTGTGTGCGTGCCCATGCGCGAGTGCGTGCGTGCGTGCGTGCGTGCGTGCGTGCTTGCGTGCTTGCGTGCGTGCGTGCGTGCGTGCGTGCGTGCGTGCGTGCGTGCGTGCGTGCGTGCGTGCGTGCGTGCGTGCGTGCGTGCGTGCGTGCGTGCGTGCGTGCGTCCGTGCGTGCGTGCGTGCGTGGGTGCGTGCGTGCGTGCGTGCGTGCGTGCGTGCGTGCGTGCGTGTGTGTGTGTGTGGCGTAAGAACGCCGTCAACTCGACTGTGAACGAAACAACGATTATACTCGTATTTAACAGAATATCTATGGAAAACCTATCTAGGTATTTCAAGCATTACTAGTTTTATTTTATCATAAAAACTAGTAGTGTAACTAACTAGTGCGCGAAAATAAGTTAAAAGTTTAAGTATAAACTTTAAAGAGATAAATTGAAACACTGTCAAACGGATGTTTTTGATGACACTTCTGTTTTACTTATCTACTAGCAGTTGCCAGCGACTTCGCCCGCTTGAAGTTTAGGGTTTTAATTATGTTGCGCGGAACCCTAATTATTTTTCTGAAATATAAGTAGCCTATGTTACTCCTTATAACATCAGCTATCTGTCAGTGAAAGTTCTGCCGAAATCAGTCCAGCCGTTTCGGAGATATATCTATATATGAAAATCAATTGATGTCCGTTAGTGTCGCTAAAACTCAAAAACGGCTCGAACGATTTTAATTTTAAAAAATTGTGTGTGTGTGTGTGTGTGTGTGTGTGTGTGTTTTTTTGTGTGTTTGAATGGGTCCCTGGATGGTTTAGATTCACAATTGGAACCGGTAGGTAGTGGCGATGCAAGACGTATCAACTACCCCATATCGGCCCCTAGGTGTAAGAGGCGACAGGTGGAAACTGAAACAGGAGTTGGGCGGCAGCATCTTCCTGATTACAATTCGAAATAATAAAAAAACTACGGTTACCTACCCGCTTGCCAAGCGTGGCAACTTTGGCAAAATTCCCCTATTAGGCAATCTATGTTCACCTGTGGACTTTTATAGGCTCTAATGGATGGAATGAAATACTTCAATATTAATTTGTGAAATGATTTTTCCATACATGAAACATTTCAAAAGAATAATGCAATTCCATGCAAAATTCATAACAAATTCTGAAAACCATTTACTTAAAGTATGCGAGATTCGCATTCCGTGAACTGACATATTTAGAATTTGACATCCATTGTTCCTTCAGTAAGGCGACGCAGCGCTTCCGAGATACGTCAATGGGAAATGAAACCAACTTCCTCGAAATATATCGCGACTGCCGACAGCGCCGATGTAAAGGCAACTGATACACGGTAGATTTATTACGGAGAGCGTTCCAATACCACATTAATTCAATGTTTTTGGAGACGTCGGTAAATTTATGTGAATTTAAAAGTACGTACCTACACGAGCAAACAAATGAATAAATGAAATGAAGATAAAAATTGCTCTGGATTTGACGTGCAAGATATTTTTAAACGTGTGTAGGTAGTTTCTTCGGTATGTATATCTCGTGTATATTTGATTTTTCGGTTTCAAACACGTTATTTTTTACAAGTAATCAAAAACCACTACAAATAATAATCATTATCCTTAAGTGGCAACAAGTTGTTTTTTTTTTACAGAATAAAGGTAACAAACGAGCACACAGTACACCGGATGGTACCTAAGTGGATGCTGTGGCCCATAGACATACATATATCTTACCTTTAATTGAGAATAAAAATGCATATGCTTAAGATGGAATGCCTCGTTAAGAATAAAAAGGTTCTCCGGCTCTCTACACTCAACATACGATACACCGCAGTATTGAGATGTCCTTCCCCGGTCAAGCCGACCCATTCGTGCCACAACCAAAATATCTTCCATACACTATGTCTCAGTGTTGGGTTCCGGTTTAAAGGCTGAGAGAACCAGTATAATTACAGATTGTAAGGTGATTTATCTTAGTCCGCAACGTCACAACACATCTCATAGCCTTTTTGTTTAAAATTGATGCAGGTGTCCATAGACTATAGCATCATTTTACCATCAGAAAGACTACGCTTTAACAGAATATTAGCGTAAAATAGCAGATCAATGCTGCTGTGTTTCGTATGGTGAGTGTAGAAGTACAAGGCACTCTATCTTAGTCCTCAACAGTGACAACGCGTCAGCATTTTTAATTGTAATGGAGGATAAATGTAGGTAACGTAAACACCGACCTTCTCGAGCGAACGGACGTGAAGTCGACAAGATACAAAACACCGCCTCGCTACAACAGTAATTACCGGTAGTTTTAAAATATCTTCTTACACGTGGTAGAGGCATGCTGCAGCTATATTAGTAGTATAGTTGTAGCACGAATGAATCGGCTTGAACGTGGAAGGACCACGCTCTCACAGAATACTAGCGTAAAATAGCAGCCTAACACGGCTGTGTCGTATGGTGAGTGTAGAGAACCGGAGACCCGTTTCACTGAAAAAGAGGCATTTCATCATTGCATCATTGATTCGCAAACGAGGATAGATGTAGATGTCTATGGGCCACAACAACCACTTACCATCAGGTGGACTGTGTGCTCGTTTGTCACCCTATCCCATAAAAAAAAAATATGTAAATGTGCGCATTTCGTTCATTTGATTCGTACGATAGTTAAACTGACCCTACCCTAGACGCCAGTACGAAAAGTTTTAAAATTTCAGTCGCAACGTGACCTGGACCCTTTTTCCTTAACCACTATGCTGGTATAGCATGTTTCGAGAGTACTTCTGGCCTCCTCTTATTTAGTAATTTCCTTTTGTGTAACGCCGACGAAAACAGAGTGTTATAAATTTGTAGTGTGTATCTGTGTATTTGTCTGTCTGTGACACCGTAGCTTCTGAACGGATGAACCGATTTTAATTAAGGTTTTTATGGAGTTTTCTTAATGGAGAATATTCTTAGCTGGGTTTCAGGAAAATCTGTTTAGTCGTTTGAAGATCACTAGCTCTTTTTCTCGGGTTTGATTTTTTTTTATTTAAGT